TCTTTTTAAAGTAATATGCTTGTAATCTTGTTATTCTTTCCTATTAAAGACGTGTGAGACTCAATTAGATTTGTTTGAAATACCATTAAGTAATTCTCATTCTTGAAATTAAAGCACTTAGTCTTTACAATTTTTCATGTTAACCATGTAAAATGTTAAAATAATTTGCAGTTGACACATCTGCAAGGCTGATTTAATGACTCACAATTTGGTTGAATTAGTCAGACTCCAAGAGTAGAAGCTGTTATGCATTGAGTTGCCTTTTTTTTACCCTTTATCCCACTAAAAATCAGTGGGAACCCTTTACGTCGAGCGCAATTGTTTTTTTTAGTAGCTTTACTCCATATCGAGTGGCCTCTGATTAGTTGATCAGTTAATAAGGAAATGAATTAATCAAACCAATATTGTTGACATCTTTTCAATTTATTTTTAATGGAGGATAATTTACTCAATAATCATTAATTAGAAATGAGAATGATATCCTGACAACAAATCTATGACTCAATCATACTGACCAATTTCTTCAAAGATGTACAAATAAGAGGACATGCTCTTTCAAAACAGGTAATTGTGCGTTTTGCATGCAGTGTTCCATAATATTAGTAGCTACTTTTAGTTTTTAATTTCCAAATTTAAAACTAGCATATCATGGTGGGTGACATCGTTTCTCACGGGTGTTTATCTGTTTGGAACAAATAGTCATCTTTCTCATATCAATGGAGACATCCGAACTTACACATAAATTAACAATATCAATCTATTGCAAAAATAGTGTAAAGGTATTTAAAAAATATAGAATAAATGAAGTCTGACTGATTGTGTCAAGTCATTAATCTTTACAAATGTGTAATCCACTAGAACCTCATCATTATCCATCCATCCATATGGCTTATTTCTAGTAGGGTCACGGGGGACCTGCAGCCTATCCCAGCTGTCATCGAGCAACAGTTGAGTACACCGCGCACAGTTTGCCAGTCCGTCACAGGGCCACACAGAGATCAACAACCACACTCAAATTCACCACTTCTCACAATCGAGAATAATCAATTAACCTAACATGCAGGTTTCTGAACCATTTACCCAGGACCACTGTGCAACCACCTAATGATGATGTCACTCAGAACTGCATCGTTTGTGACGCTGGATAAAGATGAAATTCAATCCAGCTGTCCCATATTACAAACTTGGGGGCTCGGGCCTTTTTCTGTTACCAACAGTTGGGAAGTAAATGGGTTGCTGGCCCCTGACAAGGCCAAGGAGGAGACAAGACCATGATTCACATCCAAGGAGTAGTTGGAATAGCAGGTTAGCTCGTACATGTCGGTGTTTACACTGTGGAGGGATGCTGTACTACGTGGAAAGAACATGCAAATTCCAAACAGAAAGGCCAAATACAAACCAGGGACCTTCTGTCTGTGAGTGTTCATCATCACATTATCACCTTGAATAACATATCTAATTATTTTCATGGTCTCCTTTTACAAAAATCACATCCACAAGTTGTTTGTAAATGTAAGTAATAAGAAACAGTGCTGTTATTCAGAGAGCATGGAAGCTTGTTCAAGTTTAATCATATTACTTCATACTGTATATACAATTTAAGCCAATTAGAATCCAGTTCATTAAATTCTAAAGTAGTCCAATTCATACAGAGCCAAAGAGAAAAAGTTTCCTGGCACCTAAAAACCCCCGAAAAGGATTGTCTTCAAATTCAGTTTGAAAGTTGACCTTTAAAATAGTTCCCATTAAAAGAAGACTGGCTTTGTAAAAAAAGAAAAGAAAAAGTATTTCCTCCTAAATCATTGTGTTTCTAACCCAAACCACATGATGCTATGGTTTAAAACCCCACGATATTGTGTTAGTGTTAGTGGCTGAGCTTAAAACCATGGTCGAACAAACACTTGTCACATTTAGGTGTTGAAAGCATTGTACATAATTGCACCATCCGATCTCCCTCCTCCCCCGTGAGGATAGCTTTGTGTCTTCTCAAAGCAAATCTTCAGTGTGGACATTCTATGCCTTACATTTGCAGGGCTTCCATTTCAAATGACTCCATTATCTAATGATATGGGAAAAACAACATATGAGATTGTTTTGATTTTGATTTTTACAGAAGCTATACACTGTTAAATAAAAAATAAAAAATCCTGAATTCCCGTACAGTTATATATATAAACAGACATGATTTAGCCATGTTTCAGAACTGTGTGATGCATCGTGTTACACAGGCTGATATCAAAGCAGCAAAAAAATCTCTAGTATAACCTGTGTTCTGTTAACAAAATACAAGACTGATACCTAAGTACATACTAACTAATCTGGAACAACTCGTGAAGAGAGCGGGTTGTACGGGCGAATAAAAGATATCAGCGTGAGCGTACCAATTCTTTCCTCAAGTAACTCCTGATTTTAAATTATGCAGCTCTTAAATAGCAACCCAGGAAAATTCATTCTAATGTCATTCCTGATTTTTTTTTATTCGTGTCATAATCATGTGAACATTAGTTACTTGAGTAAAAGTCACTTACCAGCTAATAGTTAACCTGTCATTTCTTCCTTATCTGTTCCTTGTTTTTTCAGAGGAACAACCCAAAAGGCTTTCAAGCCTGGTGTAAGGTGGTACCAAATATGTTTATTAGAAATATGCAATGGTAACCTCTCTTAAATTTAATTGTAATGGATTATGAATCACCATTGGCCTTATGTAGAACACTAGCACAGGCACAAAAGGCTATTTTAAGAATTACAAACAAAGGCCCGTTTCTTTTGTGTCTCCATTGACCTCTCCTCACAGAAAACCATGTGTTTGTCACACACACACACAGAGAAAAACAAGCTTTACACAACAGGAGTGTGAAATCATCATGTTCCAAGACTGGGAGTGGTGGCCGGGCAGACAGGCTCCCAGTGGGTTGAAATATCTGTGCGTAGACAACAACAGGCAAAGCAGTGACCCCTGAATTCATGATCACTCTCAGGAAATCAGTGTTTTCATCTCTGCTGGGGTCAGCGGTGGAAACCAATTCAATGTGTTGTTGATGTAAGACACAAAACACATGTAGAATGGGAATTATAGAGAGGAGAGACTGCAGGAAAGCATGACTGATAATATTATTCTAACCTTACTTGAAGTGATAATATACTTACAGATGCATTGCCATAAATGAAATGTGACTTTTTGAAAACTTTTGATCTTCTTGTCAAATATACAGTATTTCTAATGGTCCACAACCTTAAATAAAACAAGAAATAAAAATAATGTAATTTGATATGTCACTCTTGGGTCTGTTTGAGTACATTAAAAGCTGTTGTTCTTACTCACTATGTAAATAAATGCAACAACTTCAAAATTCATTTTCTGCCAAATGTAATACGAGTACATGAGAGCTTTACTGAATTTTGAGTAGACTTGCTCAAAAATATCCACTGTTAGTCACTTTAGATCAGGGATTGGGTGTGATGAGTTGTTTTCAGTCTGAATTACATTACAAAATTACAAACAATGCACTTTAACGGGTCTCAATTACATTTGAAAACTATTTTTGAAAAAAATCGGTTAATGTGTCAAAATGTTTTTGTAATGGTAATTTTATTTGACTTATTCTCAGGGCAAAATATGTTGCACTTTTTAATCAGTCATTTGTCATTTTCCCCTCTCATGTCTCAAGTGTTGTTTATGGTGACTCTTAATCTCAGAGGGTGATTCATGACAAACTAAGTTATATTTTTAGGGTAAATTAAATATTTAAGGGGGGGAAAGGGTCCACTGACGTCAATAGGGCCTCCAGGTGGTTTTTCATTAGAAAGCTGTGGCATAAACAACATTTTTCACACGTAACACATCACCCATAGTTTATGCCTGTCCTGTTTTCAGGATTAATGTGAGAGAAGCAGCTGTAAATTATGGCTGTAAACTGCATTTTGTTTTCATTGTTTATTCTATTATCAAAGAGAAGAAGTAACATTTGAGGAGCTCAGAATATATGGCTATGTTTGCCATTGTTTGTTCATTTGAACTAATCTAAAGTCTAACATATATATATATCAGTTGCTAATATTTAAATGAACATTTCCCTTGGTATTTATTCAAATTGTTATTGGAACTTTGCTGTTGCGCTGGGAAATCCGGTCAAATTCCCGTGTACTCTGTACATTTGGTCAATAAAGCGATTTCTGATTCTGATTGTGACATCTGGCAAATAACTATTTGCAATTGAACAAAATCTAATATTTTGTTTACTTTGTAAATGTAGTTTGTCTTTGAGGGTGTGAAATAAAAAAGAACACACATTTACAGTATGGAAAGTTTAAAAAAAAAAATGTACCCCATGTTGACAATACAAAGAATAAAATAAATAGATAAATAAATAAGACAATATAAAGAATCATTGCACCGCCCACATATTAATACAGCAGCAAGAGCTGAGAGTGCTGTTTCCCATTGTTCATCTGTGATATTATATCAACATCTTTACAGATTTAAAAATGTGCCATTTATCTTTTAATGCCCAGGCAACATTCCCCTGAAAATAAGACAACCTTAATTTCCAACTATATTAATGAAACGGCAAGGCAAAAATAATTAAGGGTCCATAACAAAACATCCTTAAATGGTCTTATTTCATGCATTTAGTTTATATCGCATCTGAGAATTCAAAGAAAACAGCTTAGTCGAAAAAAAAATCTGGTTTTACGGGGGTGTTGGCCAGTTCCACAAATCGTATCAGACGACATTTTAGACTCAAAGGTGACCACTGAACACGAACAATCTTGAACGTCGTGCGAAGTCTGAGCATTCAGCAAATCATGCTTTAGGACCACAGTGCACGAGCGCCATCTAGCGGCGACAACCTGCGAGCACATCGCAGCTACGTAACTTCCGGTTTCAACATGGCCGCGCCCTGACAAATGTCACATTATCCCTCCTGCTCAAGAAACACAGTTATAACCCTCCGTTTTATCAGCGTTGCCTCGTATCAACAAGAGTCTCAATCTGTGAGGTGTCGCTGTAATATCTCCCACTTCAACAGAGGTATATTTCTAGTATTTTACTTATGTTGTTCTTGTATGAGCTGCGTTTTGTAGCCGTTAGCATCAGCTGTGTTACGTACCAATATTTTGGGGTTGCTGGATTTGGTGTGCTTTTGAGTAGGCAGTTTCTGTTTTTGTGCAATTATAGTCACATTTGTTGGATGAAACTTGCTTTGTTTGTTGCAGGACAGTCCAGAGGACACCATGGTGCATTTGAGTGAGTAATGAAACCTTATCCTCGAATTGAAGCAGGGAATGGGACTTAATATAGCTGCACATTTAACAGAGTTAAGAAGTGATATCAGCTCTCTTAACATAGTCATGGAAAACAAAAAATTGCTTAAACTAAGTGAACAATTGCATTAAACACACTCTCAATTCTTCCTGTAAACCGCTCAATAACCTAATAGAAACCACTTATTTGATTTAATCTTTCCCTGTGCTATACCCCAGTATTTTATTTATAGAAAACACTGTTCCTATGTGTTTCTTTTCTTTTTTCTAACTGTAGTTCCCACTGAGTTTTTTTATTTTTATTTAATCCTATTGTGTTGGTGTGATACCATACCTAATACAACAAGCACAGCTACAATGCTTCAGATACTCAATAAGCTATAAACTGTCCTCACAAGATGCTTCCTTTCAAAACTAAAATTGACATAATTTCCCTCTTCTGCTTTTATAAAAATGCCTTTTGGCAAATGTCAAACACAATATATTCATTCAGAGAGAGAAGAGTTTCTCTTACATCAGCACTCTTCTGTTCTACTTTCTTTCCAGGAGAATTGTTTGGTTAATGTTTACTGCATTGGTTTTCAGTCTAACATATGCTGGTTACATACAAACCAGAGCTGTGTCATAAAAAATCTAGGGTTAAACCTGAAGTAGACACTTATCCTGAGGTTATGGTCCAGACTCCAGATCTCACTGATGGAGTTAGAGCTGAGATAACATAAGGATAAAGAAACTAATGTGTCCTTTTTGTGTCTCCGCAGCATCAATCCTCCTTAAGAAGTACCACGGGGGTTATGTCGTCCTCAGACTGGCCTTGGCAGGCCACAAACAGGCCAACAGACCCTTTTATCGTATCGTGGCAGCTTACAACAAAAGAGCCAGAGATAGTAAATACATAGAGCAGCTAGGTACCTACGACCCGCTGCCTAACATCTACAACGAGAAACTTGTCAGTTTCAACTTCGACCGGATCAAGTACTGGATCGGCTGTGGTGCACACCCTACAAAACCAGTGGCCAAACTTCTGGGTGCGTATCACCCTGACACTCATACGTCAACATTGCACAATTTAACGTTGATCTGTTCAGAGAAATGATTTACAACTCAAAGATTTGTTTGATCAAGGAGGTCTGTATGTAGCTTTTATTATGTTCTGGCTTGTGTCCATGTGAAGATATTGACTGAAAAGTAAATGAAAAAATAGGACCTTTACAAGCCTTCAGCTGGGGAAAGTGCCAGAATTATTTTTCCAAATGAAACTTTCATTATGTGGTTTATAACAAAGGTGTATTTCACATTTGTAAAAGTTTCTTTAGGGACAACAAGAAATAACCCTTGAAAGAAATAAGTGTTCTTAAAATGATCCGTCACGTGCCCTTTTTTTCACTCTGCTATGCAGGTCTGGCAGGATTTTTCCCCCTGCACCCGATGACAATAACCGAGGCAGAAAGGCGAAGGGCCCAGGCGGCGCAGACAGGAACGGCGACGGGGGATTCTCAGGAGGAGGGCCAGAAGCAGGCGGAAGTGTGAGGGTCAAAGCGGAGGACTGCCAGACTGTCCGGTTCAAAGGGATGCCGCAGTTATTTGGAAAGAAAATACTACTCCTACTTTACTGGGTGCACAGCTAACAGCAGACGGAGGAGGTCCCAGTTGCTTTAGCGGTCTCTTCATCCCACTCGCTGCTAATGCCTCCTGGAATTCAGCAGCTTTTTCTTTGTGACTGTGGAGTCCCATTTGCGGCCCTGTTTCATTGCTTTTTGGGGTTTAAGTTGTCATTTGGTTCTGTTATCCTGTAAATCATTTATGGAAGGCCAGAACCAACAACATGTTTTATATTATTAAATAAAGTTTCCACTGAAATGGATCTCTGAGCTTTGGAATCCCTCCAGCTGTGTTTTTGAGCAACCACTCTTTAGTTATTAATGCACGTCAGCTATGTCAAACAAGGACCGTTATGATTGTTGATAAGCCTCATTAAACCTAGAACAGGTTTAATAGAAATGTCCCAAACCAAAGCTTGATAGCACCAGGGGAAGTTAACTAATGCTCAGAACTATGTTTGGAATCATGAAACAGCAAATCTAGCAGCAAAACAAGCTGACAGTCAAATTCAGACACTATCAGAGTTACCCTCCAAACAAACTTCTATTGATCACAGACAATGAGGGTGCGTGCAACCAGTGACAATACAGACGACTAATTCTTCTGTTCTCCCATTTGACTTACAGCAGTAAGGGAGGAGACTTTTTTTTCTTTTCAAAGTAGATCAAATTATAGTGCATTAAATAATTTATAGCGTGATATTAAATGATCAATCAAAATCCTACATATCTGACATGGAGACAGTTCTGGAACTTGAGTGCAGTGCAGGTCCAGTGAAGCACATTTCATACACAATATGACCTTGATTCTACATCTTTACCAAAATTTGTATTTAGTTGATATGGTTTGTTCCCTAACAAATATCAGCTGCTCTTAGATGTGCCTATCGCTTTGTTTTTTTTTCCATGCTTGATTAGTCATTGCACCACAGGAATGATTAGTGCCAGACAGCAGGTAATTGGCTCCTTGAATAAAACAATTATTGAGCATCTTGACATTTTCCAGGTCCCATTTTTTAATCCAGATCATTTTCCAAAAAATACATTTAAATGCATTTATGGAGACATCTGTTTTTTGCAGTTAACATGAAAACGGAGAAGAAAAGTCCTTATGTCACTCAAAACAACAAACATACTTATTACTAGTTAACACAATGAAAAGGTTTATGACACGATCCCTCCCCAACATAAAAATGATTCTATCTCCATCGGTTTCATCAAACCTTGTGGCTACCGTCTCATTCCGTCCTGATCCTGGCTGAAATTATCCAAAAGACACTCACCTGAGTTGAGGTGTTGGGCCGGACGGCAGCATCCCGCAGAGTTCGGCCAAAGGGGGCGGAATGTTATTTCATTTATCTTAAAAGCAGTCTATGCATAAACTAGATCATTCATTATTATTATTGCAGGTGTCGAATTTATTATCGTTTTGTGGCTCAGGAAAATTCCTAAAACGTCTACACAATTTCCTTCAATTACACATGTACTATTGCGTAATTGCTTTGTGATTCGGGTTTGGTTACCACTCACACGCGCGCACACACGCCCACACAAATTGAAGATAATTAATGGGCGGACTTTTTAAAAAGGCAGTAGTTTGAATAAGATTTAAGTGGTTTGACGTAGTTTGAAACAGTGTAAACCGTGTCAAGCTTTTTTTTTTCTGAGGACGTTTCCCTTTTGGAGATTAGAAGCTGGTTGGCTAGTTTTCCAAAACTAGAAAACCTTCTTGAGGTTTCTGAAAAGAACCTTGCCACCACATAAAATCTCTTTTTGGCAGCACTTTGTATGCTTTAGAACGCTCGTAGCTGTTACACGCTTCTGTCACTAGATGGCCCAAAGTTCCTCTATGAAGAACAGCATGGTTATACCTATAAAAACCTAAATATGAAGCACATAATATGAGGCAGACAGAGCTGCAGAGTTACACTTCAAAGTTGTTGTGCTGCCAGTCATATGTGCTTCAGTTATCTTCAGCATTGAGGGAATCTGTTTTTTCAATTTCCCCTGGAAATGCTTTTGCCTATCATTTTTTAAATGTGAACCATAGATTTTTGTCTCCATCTAGTGCTTAAAGATAGGAATATTTAATTTCCAATACCCACAATGTCATATTCAGAGTTGCAGAAATGTATTCTTCCTGCCATTGGGCAAGAGGCAAAGTATTCTCCACCATAGAGACAAATCTGTCCAAATTAATCCCAATAGTCAAAATAAAATCCCCAGTTAATGCAGGACTGACATTTTTTGACTGTGCTGTTTTGCAAAAGGACTGAGAGCTGAACTCACATTTATACGGTTGAGATTCAACCAGGAGCCCACTTTGTGAAGAATCAGTGCTCTGCACCACACCACCTGGCTGATCACAACAGGAACGCCCTCATTCATTTCTTTATCTCATCTGGATGTGCTATATATCCTAGACGGGTAATCCGACTTGACTAAATTTTAACTAACAGCACTCTATCTAGGGATACATATTTACAACTCTGTTCCTCACGAGAACGCATAATATAGATTGCATCTAAATGAAATCCTAATGCAGTCTACTACAAGATTTTTCAGCAAAGTTCAAATCTTGCCGATAAAAAAAAAACTACACTGGACACACAAAGTTGACTTCTATTGAATCTTGAAATTGACATCTTCTGTGATTCTGTAATATTCAAATGATTGTTTTCAGCAGGTGTTCTGTGAAAAAAGCATTTTCTTTTATTCTTTTTAATTTTTTACTAATGAAACAGAAGTTTTGCAGGAGTAACCGGTGAACTGTTTTTGAGAAAATTCTTTTTTTTCCCCAGGTCTCTTGGATAAATATTTTACTTATCAAAATTTCCCTTGATTCTTGATTTTGTTGAATTTTATTGTCATGATTTGAGCATATTTATATTTTTAATGGCAACTGAACATGTCCTGTATGACCATTACAACTGCTTTGACACGTAGCATTAGTTTTTAACACTGTCAATTGAACAAAAACAGCTGCAGAATAACAAGAAAGGGCAGAATGGTGACTAATTGGGGACGTGATAAAAATGACTTTAATAGTAAATGATGATAAGGCCATGTTTGCTGAGTGAAACTATGGTAAATAAGGTTATAAGCCACATGATTCATTTCAGTCAGGAAAGACAAAGGGTAGTATGTGCGCTGCAGTTTGACAAAGAAAGAAAAAACTGCCTGTGATACCAGGAGACTTAACTAACAATTATTACTTTTCATCTTCATGGCCGTTTTTTGGGGTAAAAAAGCTCGCCAGCCAGATGACAAATGGGTGAAAATGTTTGTCCCAGTGGTGCCACAAAAATGCCACATTTACTTTTGATTCAATCAGAGGCTCATGTCCAGCAGGGCTCCTTTTGAATTAAAACAAATATCTTCTTTCTTTAGTTCCCAGAGCTGCCACCTGGGCTTTTACCCACCAGCTCACCTGAGCGAGTCAGGTAAACGTGGTTGCAGGTGACCTGAATAGTAAGAGTACAATGTGGAAATCAGTCAACAGCTAATCAACAGAGGACGGAGACACTGGTTTGCCGTGGGGCCAAGGGGGGAAGTTGTAGCTGCAGCCGAACAGCAGCTTATTTTGCAATTCTTTGACCTCCATGTGGTGCACTGGCGCCATGCCTAACCGCATGGACTCCAGTCAAGAGTAAAACACTTGCAACATTGTTGTCAATGCATTAAAACCTGTGGGCGCAAAACTGGCTGCCAGGGAACATCGATGCAGTCACGCAGGGGGAAATGGTGTTATAACCAGGAAGAGGAAGACTGTACACCTGTCGCTCCTCTTTCTCTGGATAGAGGCCAGTCATAATAAGGCACAGCATGAGGGTGTGTGGGTGATAAAACAGGCCAAACAGCTGAGTAGAGAGTTCACTTTGGACAGATTTCAGAAACAGAATGAAGCAAGCTCATAAATAAGTCTCTTTTATTTGGCTTCCTTTTTCAAGACTATATACTCATCAACTGTTCATGATAATGAATGGAATTGTTAAATACTGTACACAGCATACTGAACTCTCCCAGTGCATGTCTTCACCACAGCAGAGAAGTTATTTTCTTGATAAACTAGTCTTCATTCAGCTTTGTTATTTCTGATAAGACATAAGAATACCTTAAGATTAAATAGTGTATGATGTAAACATTTCAAACATTTAAATCTAAAGCAACTTAGTGTTTGCAAAGCTTGTGAGCAGAAGGGAGAGGAAAAGTATACTTCAATGACCGATTGATTGACCTTAGCAGATATATTCCCAAACTGAACACGGGGTTTGATACCAAAGGGTTACTTCAACATATGTGCTACATTTTCTATAACATCCTGACGCTTTGTGAATAATCTACAACAATAAAATTCATACATTTTCTTGACTGCCAGCAGCCAAAGTCTGTCAGACCACACCCACTGCAATCACGTAAAGGCAGGAATGCATGTGCAGAACAGGAAAGTCTGTGTCAGGCAGGTAAACCCTTCACTGTCTTTGTAATGTGCCTGTATAAACAGGTTAGGCTAACATCTCTGATCTAAGATCTGCATGGTCTAAAAATCTCTATTTATGGATACCTGGTTAGAAGTGGCTTATAACTCGAATGTAACTGAATTTGTTTTAAAAGAGCATTTTGTCAGGTCACCTATGACGCTGTTACCTCAATTTTAGTAGATTAGAATGCCAGATTTGAACATTGGGCACACTTTAAACAGTGAGAATGTGAAATATTGGGTTAATATCATAGTGAGGTAGGCCTGGAGGCTAATTCGTTTCAAGCAATTAATCACAGCTTGACCAACAGTAAAAAATAAAAAAAAATCCTTCAACTGCGTAAGGGAATTTCAGCGAGAGTAGCATATATACACACTTACATCCAGCAGACCAATTTCTGTGCAACAAAACCGACCTGGGCACCGAAAAAAAGCAATCAAATGAGTGTACTGCAAACAAGCAGCACATCGTAACAAGCACGGTTGACAACTGTCTGGCAGCAGAAAGCCATTCTTTGCTGCACCGCCTGAACACTTTGCCAAGTGCTCTCCACTTACACATATGCACAGTCACGATCCCACACAAACAGACGCAAATATGCTCCTCAACAGACAACTACACCATATAAGCTGCACATTTCCAAGCAAACATGAGCAGCTACAAGCAACAATGTGCCTTTTTGGAAGAAACACTACATTTTACCAGCATAGTTAGCTTGAGTGTGAACTGAAGCTTCATCGAAGAAGAAAAAACCATGCCATTGTTGATTCATATTAGCAAACAGACCGGAGATTTGTGTGCTAGCATCCTTCATTATGTTTAAATTTCACTGGGCTTAGATTTAGACTTCATATTTTAAGTGAGACACAGTTACATTACTGACCTTTTGTCCCTTGTGAGATACAAAAGTAGCATCAAACAAAGCCCTGGTGCATTACACAAAACATCCTCACCATTCCACACACAAAACACTGAGTACATTAGGTTCAAGCCCTGCTTGCCCCCTGATTGTATCGCATTATCTGCACAAGAAAAACAAAATACAACAATGAATGTCATGAAATAAAACCTTATAAAAAAATAAGCTCTAAAATGCTGAATCTTGCCCACAATCTTTAGCCAGATACTGTTTCACTGAAAGTATCTCAACTGTGATAGCTACTCCAACATTCCCAGTAACTGTATACAGTGCACACATACCCTGTGCGTTCAGAATATGTAGTGGTACAAAAAGAAACAGTAAAAGCAGCAATTTGAGGGGTTGTTCGTGTCCAGTCTCATTATTTCCTCAAGTCTTTTTTTTTTCTTCCTTGCTCATGTACGGTAGAGTCTTCTATGGTTTCAACTGAAATCTTTCAAACTAAATCCACCTTCCGCCTGTTGTGGAAGTCACAAGGCGAGTCTGCAAAGGCGGAACGCTGAGGCAGAAGGTAGTAGTGTGTGGTGCTGGCCTTCTGGCCGTTCTCCATCACAGGAAGGATGCAGGGAGACCCCTCGCTGTTCTGTCTGTGAAAACTCCGGCCGCTTACGTACTTCGGATCGGGCGCAAAGCTTTGGGTGGGCGGCATCACCCCGTTGGTGTAGGTGGGCAGGCTCTTGGGACTGGGAGTGCGGGAGCTGCCCCTGGACAGCGGGTCCCTCGGGGGCAGCTTGGGTGGCTTGTCTTCGTCGCTGTAAGCCCCGGAGGAGACCTCCGCTGACCAGCGCCGGCAGTCCCCGGTCTTGAGCGTGCGCGGGGGGATGGGCGGCGGCACCTCCGCTTTATCTGTGCTGTTGGCATGACGCCTGTGGCATGTGAGGCGCAGCAGGGAGGGCTTGTGTAAAGAGCCGGCGGGGCCGGAGTGGGAACGCCGCAGCCTCCTCTGAGCTTTGTCCTGGGGTCTCTGGCAAACCGCCGGGGCGGGGGGGTCTAGTGCTTGCGGCTGATGCTGTTCTCGCACTTCTTGTGGCGGATGAGCCTGATGGTGCTGCTGCTGCTGCTGCTGGGGCTGTCCGGAGCTTTTCGGTCCTAAAGGACCATCGTAGTAAGCATAGTTAATCTGCCCACAGTCCCTGAAGCTCCTTCGGCTGGGGAGCCCGTATCGAAACGGAGACGGTTTGGAACTCTGGTCAACGCTGGACACCAAGCGGATGTTATCATCCGTGCTCGTAAAAAATTCTACTTCGTTGTCTATAGCCTGCTCAGAGGAAATGTCTGTCTGCGGGGGGATGGGTGGCAGAGGCTTGGAGCATCTGTCCGGCGTCTGTGGCGGGCTGCTGAACTCATAGAACGAGAGCCTCTGGAATGAAGGGACCACCTGGTCGTCGTCAGCCGGACTAGGGGTGGATGGTTCGGCGCTGCAGGACAGGGAGAGGTGGGAGGGCCGGGATTTCTTGGGAGGTAACCTCTGTGAGCTGGGACTGTGTTTATGTTCTGTCGGAAACATAAAGAGAGACAACCGTCGCTTAATGTCACGGAAAAAGATGAATGAAGTTAGTTTGCCGTGATCAGAATTCACTGGTTCGAACTTTGCTGCATCCTTTAATAAACGGATTCAGAGATACAACACGCGCACTTTGGCTTTTATGCTTGGGAGAAAACATGTGGCGGATAGGAGAGAACAGGCGCTTACTTTCATAGCTGGGAGGTGGACCCTTTGGCTGCGACCGATAGCTGTGATCCGTGTGTGCGGTATCCATGCTGAAGTAGAAGCTGCTGATAACAGAAATGTCATTTTCAATTAGTAGGGCTTAAAAAGAAGCCCCACAACTTTTCTTTATCTACAAGAGAAATAAGACTAACCCTAACCATATGACTTCAACATGACAACATGCAACCCTGAAACATCTTCACTCTCTAAAATCCTCCCCTATCAAGCTGCCACGGTAGTCCCGGCTTCTAAACACTCACTTGTCCATGGGCTCATGGCGATAGCTCCAGGACGGTTTGGATCCAGCCATGCTGTGACAGTAGCTGCCCCTGAGGAAGGGGTTTTCTATGGGAAAAGAGATCTCCTGGGCAGTCAAGCCCACTGTGGACATGCTCCAGGCACAGTCGGATCGCATCAAAGCCAGGAAACACTCGGATCGCCCGGCTGGCTGCCCCTGCTTCTGGTGGACCTATAACACAGACAGAGCACAGCCATGAATGATGGTGAATGGAGGCTGAAAGCAAAAGCAGGTGAAACGGAGCAGAACATGGTGCGGCACACTGAAAAATACTTTCAGCAAAGAAAGCCAACGTCCCTTACTAAAGCCCAAAAAGAAAGCTCTCCTCTTCCTATTTTGAAAAGAGGCCCAGAATGGATAGTTTAGGTTGTTGTCTGATCAAGTTTCCTTTAGTTAAAAAAAAGGAAAAAGAAAGAAAACCATGTAATACATTTTCTGAATAAAAAAGAAAGCTTATGATAGTGGGAACACTGAGTGCTTCACTTAAATGCGGGCGTTTTACACTTTTTACGGACTGATCTTTAAATCACATACAGATCAGGCTTTATTAATGAATATCTTTATAGTCCATATCCATCCTACAGACAATGTTTCGTAATGGGTTTAGTTTGTTTTTAAGCTTGACCGTGCCAAACTGCAGTGCTGCAATCCTGCTCGACTTGATCAGGAAACGAAGGGGCTCCTCTTGTTACTACAAATATACCTGATGTTGCAAGAACCACTCATGTCAAGTGACCTGAATGTTCGTGTCATGTCAAGTATGTATCGGGGGTGAATAAACAATGAATACAATATTTAGAGGGGTGGAAACCTGGCAGTAGTTGGTTTTTCAGGGATCAGCTGTGCACTGGAAGCAAAGCAGACCTGGCATTTTAAATAAGCTCAGAAACTCAGAAAAATCCTTATAATTTAGAATTTGTGGTTGGAACTCTGGGTAAACTGTGAGGAAGCCAGTCAGAAATAACCGGTGAACGGTTATCTTCACCACAATCAGTCCTTGCTTTTCACCACTCCTGGAGAGCAATATCTGATGTGATGATTGAGTAAAACACAGCCCTCTTGCTTCTGGTCTCCTTTGAGCCATATTTATGTGCTGACCTGACAGCTGGTGAGAAACAAAGCTCTAAAACAACAGGAAGCCCGGGGCCGTCAGCATGAGCCAAGCTGCCCAGCAAGGCATGCAATCCTCCCCCCCCACCCCCTACCCACGAATTCGGTTCGGCGGGGACGGGAAGCAACATGATCCTCGATAATGAACCCCGAGGGGCTTGCGCTTCCTCTTGCAACAGGTGCAAAGACAGTTCATTCTGGCAGTTAACCACAGGAGCATTTACAGGCAGCAGGATTAAACAAATGATGTAGCCATGCACGGCAGAAGCCCTCCTGAGGAGGAATTCTTCAAGTCAATTAATTCTGACCCTGTGACCAGAGAATGGGAATCTTTTTATGGTCATATCTGTGCATGGGTGGTCAGGCCCCTGGGGGCAGGAGGGCAGGAGGGAAGGGGGCTCTGCTGAAGGTTGGCGGCGACATCCTCAGCCGGTCTACCTCTGATTCAAGCTTGGAGAAGGCTAATCGGCCTCAGACCTTGACAGAAGAAGTTCACACCCCTCTCATGACACCCCTGCAGCGGTTTCCGAGCAACCATACCCGCTCTACCTGTGCGGCAAGCAAACAGCGCGCACACCCCCTCACTTTACCGGATTGAGATAATAATGGTTAAAAGCCCTCTAGCAGGCAGGTGACTCACGCCACAACACACAAGTCAGCTATTTAGCAAGGCTGGGTATAATAATGATACACAGTGAATTGATATTTGCTTCTTTTTTTTTGTAAAGGGCAAAAAAAAAAGAAAAATGAAAGAAAAGATGCAGATTTAAGTCAAGTTATAGACCTGCAATCGGGAAAAAGTTAAGATTAAATGAGAGAGGGGAAGAAAGGAAGGCAGACAATCATGTGTTACTACATCTACATTGTTTGTGGCTCACAATGCACATATTGGATGCTCAATGATAAATCAAAACAATGTGTGTGTGCTGCTGGCACACACACTTAACAAGAAAATAAACAAGACGCCCCAAACAGACATTTCATTTCTCATTCTGAACTCACCTCAATAGGCTGGTGGCTCCTTTCTAATGGTTGACCCCAAAAGTCCTCTTAGATTGAAATTAAGCTCCTTCCTGTTGGCCTGGACTCAGATCAGATTTTTTTGTGTTTTTTTTGCCTTTGTTATCGTCTGATCCGTACTGCCTCGGGAACAGTACCCCTTCGAGTACACTGTGACACTTCTAGATGGCCCAGCGTTGTAGTGAGAAATGTTTTATAAGCTCCACCACCATGGAGACGCGCTGGCTCCGCCTCGCACACTTGCCCTTAAAGGTGCAGTCTCCCTGTCTGTGACTCACGCTGCTTGCAGCCAACACGTCGCACGACCAACAGAGAGAACATGGATTGCTGGGCGAACTTAAACACGACTCAACTTAACGTGATCGAAATCTGCAGGACCACTTTTAATCTGCTTTTGACCTCAAAAGAGAGGTGCATGCTCACAAAGCTTCCAGAGAAGGAGAAGAAGTTAAAAATCCCTCCCCAAGTTTAGCTTCTCAAAACCTTCCACGGAACAGCTCCTGTTAGAATCATATATTTCTTTGACTTGGCTTCATGAGCACCGCGCTGCAGCCAAGACCACAGATCTGAAGTCAGACAGAAGATGGCTGCAGGGTTTAGAACTCACAGGCCAGGTGAAGAGAAGCATTCTTTTCTGCATGGGACGCTGCTGGCAGCTGGATCAAGCCAAGCCGCTCATTTATCAGATCGGGGACATTGTCTTTCAGCCAGACCTGTTCTGCCTTTACATGACGCGGTGTTCACATCACACATTTCCTCTTTATGGTTTTACATGAGTAATTTGGAACACACTCTAAAACTGAGCCGTGTTGTATAAACTTCTTCATATAAACCCGACCGGGCCAAACATACCTAATGTACAGTATTCAAACAACGATACAATAGCAAGGAACAACACCTGAGTTGAATCAATAGTGGCAAAAAAGCGCAGGCGTGTGTGTCTGCAGAGACAGAACACGTTGTTCCTGTGTTTGGGAACCCCTCAAAGATTACCCAGGACCCATCTAATCCCCGTTATGAATTCAGAAAATGTTCCGGGATGACTCTGGACCATTAGGCAGAGGCCTGGTAAAATCGACAGCTGTTTGTGGAATGATGAATAGCAGGAGGAGAAACAGCTTGCAAAAAGCATGAAAAACCTGTGAGGGTAAAGTCAGAAATGGAAAAAGTGAGAGTCAATCAACCCAAGTTCAGCAAATAGAACAGGTCTGTCTTACTGCACCACATTTCACTAAAGAGATAAAGAGATATAAAGAGACAAATAGGCTACCAAATGATTTCTCCACCCTCCCCAGTCCCCTCCCTGCCAGTGAACCACTTTGTGATGTCATTGCTGACAGGAAGTGCCTTATAAAGTTAGCCATGGAGAGAAAAAAAAGAAACTCAGCGAGGGAGTAAGATAAGCAGGCACAACCAGAGGCAGCCCTGATGATAGATGAAAGATCTTAGGTCAGAGAGGATATCCTTCACAGGAAAAATTTCTCTGGCTTTTTCTTTGGGTTTTTCCTCATGACTCATGCTTTACTTAGTTTTTTTTACATCTAGCACATTCCCCCTTAAAAAGCAACACCTTTGGCCACTCTTGCTCTCAGCTGCTGTGGCAGTACAAAGACTTCCACGTTCTGGCTCACATTCCAGCATAATGGAGTACATATGAAGTGGTGCCTCAGTCTCTCAGCTGATTACTGAAGTCCTCCCCGCCAGGACACCAGGCAGGGTGGAGTTTACTCACAGACAAGACCAAAAAAAACCCGTCCCAATATTGTAAATGATTTATTCACTGTGGAGGTCACAGCATTGATTGCTGCTGCCTGCTGAGGTAATTAGATTACATGCATATTCAGCTTGCATCCAAAGTTCACACTGATATAAACACAGCAGCTAAAGATTTGGTGGAGTAGTGACATGACGTCAGCCCGGAGAAGATTCTGCTGAACGTGTGGTATACGGACAAGTGATAAGGGAAGGCCATTTTTGTACGAATGCACACCAGATTAAAACAAACTTCATAGCAGTAAACACAGAAGGATGTCAGTCTTTATTAAGAGTTTTCTCAGTCAAGAAATTAGGAATGTTGTCACATAACAAAAGGCAGGCATAAACTCCTGAAAAGGATTCTTTTGTTCAGATTCTTTTTTTTCCCCCTTTGTATCTTGTCTTATTGCTTTGACCAGATTTTTCTCAGCCCTAATTGATAACATACTGATACAAACTAGTAGGGTAACATAACAGCTGCAGAAAGCATTGCTATGACAAATTATAAATGCCAGTAATGTTTCTCCTAAGAGAACGTAACTTGGTGTGTATTTGAACTCCTCTGGTGTGCCCTCATCTTAACCAGGCACCTTTGATGACCAGTGACATAGAAGTTAAAAAGAGATCAAGATAAAGGCCGGATGTAAAAATAAAGATAAACAACTTTATATATATACATATATATATATATATATATATATATATATATATATATACGAATATATATATTCGGAAACTTTCCGCCTCCAACCACCCCTTCGTGATTCATTTTTAACCTTAACTGTTCATACTCCCGGAAGAGGCCTGCTTAATGTTCCAAGTGAAGCATTTAGACATAGTTATTATCATTTAGTTTCCATTCATGCTCTGCCTCAAGTGTCTGCCTTTGTTTTTGCTAAACACCTCAGACTGTGTTCCTGCTCTGAGATTTACTCTTAACAAACCATTATTCACCAGAGATTCTGTGGAATCAAACAAACACGACTGTTTTTTTCTGATTGATGTCCTATCTGGCATCCAATTGGGTGGGGGACTTTTAACAGGTCTGTTTAAGAAAGAGCACAGCACCTTAAAAAAGCCCAAAGTGGGAGATGAAGCAACTGATTTTTATCAATGGATATGTTTTACATTGGGTTAGCACCCTCACCTCACAGCAGGAAGGTTCCCGGTTCAAATCCCTGGGTGAGGGGGGGGGGGGGGATTGCCCGCTCTTCCCCTGGATAAGTGGGTTCTCTCTTGGTATTCCAGTTTTGTCCAGCCATAAAAAAAAACATGCAGAATTGCATGAAACAAACAGCAAAAAGGCGAGCAAACACAATGTCAAATGATGCTTTTTTTTCAAATGTCAACATAGGTTGTGACTCCTTTGAGAAAAGGAGCTTTCATTAAATATTTACAATTGTTCTCATCGAGCGTGTGGATGGTGTAATTTTACAGAGAGCAATAAAAGGAGTTGTTCACAGACACAATAGGCTTTTCATTTCAGCATGACTGGCAGACACACAGGCTCTACTGCTGGATGCCTTTTGTTTTGTAGCTGACACATTCACCAAGCAATGGCATGTCATTTCTAATATCAACGATACAAGACTAGATTACAGCTATTGTACCCATTAAGCATGCTAAAGTCCTGAAAGGCCCCCGACTGCCTTAGGTATTAATCACTTCCTGTGTTGGTAGAAAGATTTCGGGAAAATCGAGGGATTCCGGGACGGACAGGCTATCGCACTTTGCTGTTCTGTGTTTTCTGTTTCAGAGTGCAAGTAATCCAAAGCAGCAACACCAGGTCAGTATTGCATCACTCCCCGACATTGTTGTGTTGAGTAGTTCAAGTGCAGCCCCGGCCTGTTTGTTAGTAATGGGTGGAGCAAGTCCATCCACCTCCTTTACGATGACAGGGTGTGTTTAGACTCCAGGACCTGACATAGACCGGGGGAGTTATTGGCAAACTTAACTTATGACTGAGACTGAATCAAAGTCATGTTAGTAATTATTAGTGTGGCAAATGCTTCTGTGAGAAAGAGGGAACATACTTTTGTGATGACATCCACAGTCGTGTATAATCCCATTCACTGACATCCACACAAAAACCAGGATCTGTTCCTGATGTTTGGGGGATAGCTGTGAAAACGACAGCTGTGGGGTGATGGAGGACGTCACGCTGGTTTGATTCTCCCTCCAGCTGCTGGCCTTTAACCAGCTCTACAGCAGAATGGATGGACAAAGAAGGAGACTTGCTCCAACTATGCCTCTCTTCCAGACTAACAACTAATGCAAGGCTCTGAAATTAAGACATTTTATCAACCTGTATTTCTAAATGTCTTCTCTGGTCGAACTGGTGAATCCCAAATGGTCTCATGAAGGGAAACATTACACATTTCCAACAATGTAATGTCTGGATTGTCTTTCAAATGCAAAACA